ATGATTAATGATCTTTTTATATGCTTGCTTTCCATTTGTTTATCATATTTGGAGGAATATCTGTTCAAGTCTTTTGTCTATTTTTAAACTGGGTTATTTTCTTTTGTTGAATTGTAGTGATTTTTTATGTATTACAGATATTAACTCCTTATCACATTTTTGATTTGCAAATATTTTCTCCCATTCAATATATTGCCTTTTCACTCTTTAGGTAGTGTCCTTTGATACTAAAGTTTTTAACTCTGATGTACACTTCTTCCTCAACGTGCAGTAGGGTTATGTCCTGATGAACTTATTGGAAGTTGAAAATATTGTAAGTTGAAAATGTATTTAATACACCTAACCTACCACATAATATAGGTTAGCCTAGCCTATCTTAAATATGCTCAGAATAGTTACATTAGCAGTTGGAAAAAAATCTCTAATACAAGGTCTATTTGAATGTTGAATATCTCATGTAATTTATTGACTACTGTACTGAAAGTGAAAAACAGATTGATTATATAGGTACAGAGTGGTTGTAAATGTATTGGTTGCTTATCCTCTTGATCACATGGGTAGCTGGGAATTCTGGCTTGCTCCACTGCCTGGCATCATGAGAGAGGATCATACCACATATCACTAGCCCAGAAAAGATCCAAACTCAAAATCAAAAGTATAGTTTCTCATGAATGCTTATAATTTTTACAGCATTGTAAAGCCAAATATCAAAAAGTCAAAACATCGCAAATTGGGGACTGTCTGTAGTAACTTTTTGTTGCTTTTACTATCTGTGTCCTATTCAAGAAATCATTGCTAGGTCCAATGTTATGAAACTTTTCCCCTATGTTTTTCTCTTATATATTCCCCTATACTTTTAGGTCTTACAAGAAAAGATCCAAACTCAAAATCAAAAGTATAGTTTCTCATGAATGCTTATAATTTTTACAGCATTGTAAAGCCAAATATCAAAAAGTCAAAACATCGCAAATTGGGGACTGTCTGTAGTAACTTTTTGTTGCTTTTACTATCTGTGTCCTATTCAAGAAATCATTGCTAGGTCCAATGTTATGAAACTTTTCCCCTATGTTTTTCTCTTATATATTCCCCTATACTTTTAGGTCTTACACTTAGGTATTTAGTCCATTTTGAGTTAACTTTTTTATATGGTGTAACAGTAATGGTCCAAATTCATTCTTTTGTATGTGGACATCCATTTTTCCCAGTACCATTTGTTTAAGGGACTGTCTTTTTCCCATTGCATATCCTTGGCAACCTGTCAACAGAAAGGATATCATTCATTTCCCCCAACATTCCACTCCCCCAACAATATATGTGATGACTAGCAAACACCATGCCAAACAATAGGTTGCAGACTATCTGTTGATATGTAGAATTCCTCCAGGAAGCCCTGGTGTTGGAGGGTCATTAGTCTGACTGCTAACTGTTCAAGTCAGGGCAGATCATCTCTTCCCCAGGTGATGCCTGGGATGCTCTGGCTGCAAATACTTCTTTTTGTTTTGAGTTTGCCTGACCCTTTTAGTCTGGGACTCTGCTAAGTGGTCCACATTAATCTCTTTACGTGATGTACCATGTTCTCAATTGTTAGGTTTAAGCATCAGATGCATCACAGCAGTGCTGTGGATCTTCTGAGAGGAATGTGCTCCATCTCCTTTATTTTCTCTCCTTGTGGTTGGAGGAAGAGGAATCCTGCTTCTGCAGAAGCTTCAGTTAATATTCCAGAACTAGACCACACCTATTTCAATAGGACGAGGATGGGCTGGAGCTGAGATTCAGATGGATTTGTCTTTTGTGGAGAATAACACGTTCCTTTCCCAGGATCTTTTTGCATGCATTGATTTCCATGGGAGTATAAGAAGCTTCTGGGCAGGGGATTTTGAACAGACTTGTTCAGAGATAAACAGACTTGATGATCAGTCATGGTGGGAGTTAGAGGGATAATGAAAAGCCAGGCTACAGGATGAAAACAGACAGAGCAGCCCATACAGGGGAGGAAGTCCACGATGAGAAGAGGCTCTCGGCAGTGGCAGCTCCAATCTGAAGGGGTCTATTAGTTCTGGGTGGAATGTGTGCTGGCATTTGACCCCATTCCAGCCAGCTGCCCTGGCCCACTGAGAAAATAGTTAGAGACACACTGTAGCTTTGTGACACCTTGGAGTCCATAAACCCTGTGGCCGGATTCCGAGTGCAACAAAAAGAAAAGTGTTCTCAGTTTCTAAGAGCTTGTGTGTCCAGAGCCAAGGGACACAGATGTACATGTTCGTGGGGACAGTAGTCATGAAGGCCAGACCCAATCTTTCATGAAATGCTGAGTTCTGGCTTGGTGACATGAGTGTCAGGGGTCAGTGGGAGTAACAAGGCTCTTCTTTTCCTTCTTTCTTTCCTTCTTTCCTTCTCTTTCTCTCTCCCCCTCCTCCCTTCCTTCCTTTTCTTTTTCTTCCATCCCTCCCTCCCTCCCTCCATCCGTCCCTCCCTCCCTCCCATCCATCCTTCCTCCCATCCTTCCTTCCTTCCTTCCTTCCTTCCTTCCTTCCTTCCTTCCTTCCTTCCTTCTTTCCTCCCTCCCACTATCCCTCTCTTCCCTCTCCTTCCTTTTTTATGAGGTATCATTGATATATAGTCTTATGAAGGTTTCACATGAGCAACATTGTAGTTACTACATTCACCCATGTAAATCAAGTCCCTCCACAACACCCCATTGTAGTCACTGTCCATCAGCATAGTAAGATGCTGTAGAGTCACTACTTGTCTTCTCTGTGTTATACTGGACAAGGCTCTTCTTAAACAAGCACTTCTGAGGTTGTGTTGAGATGTACAGCTGTGGAGACCTGATAAGGTGACAGTCAAAATAGAGGTATCAGTAAATACACAATGCTTGATCACTATGGCAGTGGGCCCAAGAACAACACCTTCACAGAACCAGGCACAACATTTATGTTAAAGCAGCAGCAGTTCCTGGGCTTGAATAATAGAAGAAGGGGAGTGGTGGCCTAGATGGTTTGCAGACATGTATATAATGCTCCTAAAAAGGCCTGAAATTAATGTATGAACAGGAAGACACTCAGAGCTAGCAACACTTATGTAATGATGCTAATATGAAAACTAAGTTTATTCATTAATGCCACACACAGGTATTGAGTACCAACTAGGCAACTGACTATGTCAGGTACCAGATATAAAGAAAATAATAAACCACGCAGTCCCTGCCTTCAAGGAGCTTACAATATAGTAGGGAAAAGAGACACTTAAATAAGTGAGCTGTCTTGACACATGCGTACATGTGCACGTATACCCAGATAATTCATATATTCATTAAATACCTAATAATTATAAATATTATTAAAAAATAAATACCTAATGAGGATCTATTTCATGGCAGACATATCACCCTTCATACTATGCTTGTGTATACTTATATATACCTGCAGAACATGAGGCCTGCATGTTCTAGTTACATGTGCACTTTAGGGGTTAGAGATCTTTCTAATTTGATGCTGTAGCCCATGATCTGCTCCTCTGATGATCCTATCCTCCAGCTTGTGCTCTAGAAGCTGGGAAGGCACAGGACAGGGCTTTGGGAATGGAATCTCCTCAAATCATAACAGCATGGCTAATTGAAATCCAGATGGAAAGCTCCTGTAAAGCCTTTTTCAGATAGCATTTGAACAAGGTGTCAGGTGTATCTAGAAGCCAACAAAAAAATCATATGCATCCCTTTGAAGCTGATGCCATGTGTCTCTGATTTTGGAACCCCTATGAGAATCCCTTCTGGCCCAGGCAACAGTGGCATCTGGGGCCTGGCATGCCAGTGGTAGAAAGCAGGTAGGGGAATAACTTATAATTTCAGGTTTCTTGTGCAGGTGTCCAGTTGATTTTTAAAAAGAGAGGGTGACAGGGTAGACTACGGGAGACAAAGTCTTAAAGCCTTAAAAGATTCCATGGGTTCTGTTTCTTTAGATTATCCAGAGGGAAGGAATGGCCTTCCAGAAACAATAAATGGCACTCAATAGCCAAAGAATGAGCATCTACAACTGGGGGCCAGAGGGCATAGCACAGTGATGTGCTTTATACCTTTTGGTTCCTGAATGCTGGCTGGGATTGTGGCAGCTGATGACCCTTAGGGTACGGACATCATTTTCTAAACATTGTAACATCTGCAAGAACAAACATTTCATTTGTGCTCTGTTGAGGTCATTGAATTTTTTATATGTAATTGATAAATCGATATGGCCTTGTGAAGGAAATACTGTACCATGGGGAGAGCAACGGGTTTGGAGGTCAAAGGCACAGGTTCTGGCATCTGTTCTGGGTTATATGGTTTTGGTCAGGTCCCTAATCTGTTTTGTCTTTTTTTTTTTTTTGAGTACTTATTATATACCAGATGTGGTTTTACATTAATTTGCTGTAACAAATACTACAGAATGGGTGCTTTAAACAACAGAAATAAATTTTGTCAGAATTCTTGAGGCTAGAAGGCCAAGATCAGCATGGTGGCAGGGTTAGATTATTCTCCTTGGCTCATAGACCCCCATCCCCTTCCGGCCTTCACATGGCCTTCTTTCTGTGTGTCCTAACCTCCCCTTATAAAGACGTCACTCATAGTGGATCAGGACTCACCCATTTGACCTCATTTTACCCTAATCACCTTTTCAAATACCCCATCTCCAAATCAGTCACATTCTGAGGCACTGGGGTGTTAGGACTTCAACATGTGCATTTTATGGGGACACAGCTCAGCCCGAATATGAAGTCTCACAAAACCCTGTGGATGATGTGCCATTATTATTCCTATTTTACAGATGAGGAAACGCAGGCATGAAGCAGTGAAGTAACGTGTCCATGATCAGAGCTAGAAATGACCCAACTACAATTTCAGCCAGGCAGCCTGATTCAACGTCAGCATTCTTACCTGCAAAGTTATATTCCTTCTGCTATTTGATTTATAAATTCTGTGATGCTGCTTTGATAAAAATAGAAATTAATAAAAGTATAATCAGGATTTGTTTTAATATTTTATCCAGAGCCAATCTTGGGATTAGAAATATGCTTGCTGGTTTTATGCACTGACTGTAGAGCTCTGGCATATGGGGTAATTTCTACCCATGCCTTCCACTTGTGTCAACTTGGCTGTGAGTTCTTCCTCAGGAGATGGTTTTGATGGGGGCTATTTTTTTCTGTGATACCTGGGAGAACTGAGCTTTTTGGATGGTGCTTTTTCTGTGTGTACATTGTAAGTAGATTATGGGCATCTAGTCTTCACATTGCCTCCTGTTTGTGGACGATCCTGAGGAGTGGTAACCATAGTTACCTTATATCCAGGTGGTCTTGAAGTGACTTTCTCTAAAGGAAATTCTGACCTGAAGCTAGAAGATTGCACTTGGGAAGGAATGGAAAAGGAAATTAAAAAGAAGGAAGCAGGGTCGAGAAGTGCAGGGGGCAGGGAGGATGGGAAGTGATTTGGGATAGACTTGGGAAAGGGGAGCAGAGGTGGAACCTGCCTGGGCTTGCCTTCAAGTTGGGAAAAATCACCAAGATACTCTTGACTGAAATCCCCTCCCATTTTAGGGTTTCTGTCTTGTGCAATTTCCATTAAGTTTCAATTTAGGATTTATTATGTTAACATTTCTATGAACAAGGGCTGGTTACCATCCCCCCACAATTTTTGCAAAGGTAAGATATTGATTATTGTTATGTATTGACCCACTCAGCATTTGACATGTAATTTGTGCTTTATTCTTCATGTCTTGGGCAAGGAGACAGGAAAGCATGAAAGAGAAGCAGAACCTCTTAACTTTTAGTGACTTTGGGAGTAGTCCAACCTAATCCTTTAAATCTATGACATAAATAATTATAGGAACAGAAGAGGAACAAAACACTGATGGGAGCTCCAAGGAGCAAGCAATGAAATACAGAGCTGCCAAAAGTGCCTTTAGACCTCTCATCCTTTGGCTAACACCATCTGTTAACATGCAAGGGAATTCAGAGGTCTCTGGGTTATAGCTGGAGGTATAGAGGTGCCAGATGGAACCATCTTAACAGCTGTAGAAGCTAGGGAGTAATTATTATTCCCTATATTTTGTGGTCTGAATTGTTCTCAGGAGATGAGTAAAAAATAATCAAAGCCAGATTGTTCTAGGGAGATGCTACACAAGGCCCTGGACTGCTTTGCCTCTTCTCTGTCCTCTTGCCTCAGTGTGTGACCAACAAGCCTCAGATCTACTGGAATTGTGGTGAATGCAGAGTGCTGGTAAAACAAGCTTATTGCAACATCACTGTACCCTAACTGGAGTGGGCTTCTCTGCATCCATGGCACTTTATTTCAGAAACTGTCATGCATGTACTACTTACATCCATGGACTGGTATTATGATCCATGGACTGATCCTCAGATATCTGCTCACAACATCTGTTATGCCCAAAGCTAGTTCCATGCTGTTTCTCTGCCTCATGTGATCCCTTTTCTTGAATTACATAACAATTCTATAGTGATCCTGTGTACTCTATTTCTAATACTTTTCTTTACATCTTAATAGCTGTCATATATCTTCAGGAACTCTGAGCAAGCTTATACCATCTAGGCCTTCACAGATTAAAGCTGGCTTGTCAGTTAAGTGTAGCCAGCACAGCTCTACTAATATTGCCTTGTTGTTCCTTGTCTTATTGGAGCAGACAGCTATAAATGCCTTTAGATATGAGATTTCTTATTTGCATCCTTTATCCCAATTCAACACCAAAGGAAGTCATCTTAGTATAATTAATCTAGTTGACCAGCAAGGTGATGTTACGCATATCCACTAATGTCCAAACTTCAGTTGTGGGAATTGGATAACAATGGCTCATGAGAACTGATTTTAAATATTCAGGAATTGTATAAAGCTGGTTGGTAGGCTTGAAATCAGCCACTGTCAGATTATTTACACCATGGAAATTGGCAAGCACTACAAGTCAGGGCTTTTCCCCTACTGGAGAGATGGCTTCCCAGCATACCCTCTGAGCCTCAGAAATAATGTGTCTCCTACCTGGTGGCAGAGCCAAGATGAAAACTCAGCCAATTCTGAGCCCAGAACTGGGTTCTTAACCTTGTTACAGGATGAGAGTATCTGCTGCCCTGATTTATCAGCTCTGGAGCTAGGTGGCTGCTTGATTGGAGGAGTCAATACTGCTGCTTGAGCTGAGCATCTGTGCAACAGCTCTTTCAGTTGTAAGTCATATTCCGTATCAGTAGGAACAAAGAATGCTCCGTGAATCATTTCACCCAAATGATCCCCTGCTTAGATTCATTAATCACCATGAGCTATGATGACACAGCGCTCTACGCAGGGCTTCACAAAGCTGTTAACTGACCTGGTCTTGGCTCTATTTGTACCCTGGTGCATTGGGATAATATTCAAGTTGTGAAAAGGGTATTGATAAGTATTTTGTAAACATCTTTTGTAGTGGTTTTCAAACTTGGCTGCACATGAGAATCACCTGAGAGCTTAAAAAAAAATCTCAATACCCAAATCTCATTCCAGACTAATTAACTCAGAAATCTCTAAAGGTGGAACCTATGCTTCAGCTGGTATTTTAAAATTGTGATGTCTTTGATAATGACGGTGTCTAATACTTCTGTTTCTGAAAAATGAATACTATTGTTAAAACTGTTTAGTCAATGGCTTCTTCATGTAAAAAAGGGAAGAAAATTACTTTTAAAAGTTGGGTAGTGAAGGGGCAGGGAGAGTTAGAATGATTATGGAGGGTTATTGTCTGAAGGAAATATTTTAGTTTTGTGTCTTAAGATGGCATAGACTTGATGCTCTTTGAAGATTCAGAAAAGGATAGTCTTGAGAAGATAGGTAGAAATAGGTTCTACCAAAAAGAGGGACTGACTTAGGAGGAGGTACATCCTTTCTTTTAAAACAAGAGGAATGAGAAAAGTATGAGTACACATATGTTAAGATATATAGGTTTAGTAACAGGGCGTACAAAAGTTTATCTGTGAGCATTTATTTCTTTGTAGTGTAGCAAGTAAAGTTGTCTGCTGTGAAGGATGGCTGTGGATTGAAGAGTATACATATGGGGCTGTGTGTGTCTGTGTGTAGGTGTGTGTTGATGAGGTATGCTGGGGAGAGAAATAGATGTTTAAGAGAGTGAAAGAGTTTTGAAATACTCATTATGGAGAGTTGGAGATTGAGTTGACTAGATGAAATAGTGGAATTATCAGGTAGTTTTGAGGCCCAGTTGAAGTAAGTGATTAAGCACTTATATACAAATACACTCACTTCATTTATTTATTCACTTAACAAATACGTATTGATTGTCAACACTGTTCGAGGTACTGAGGGTATATTAAAAAAACCCAACAAATTCTCTGTCACTATAGAGCCAATATTCTCACAGAGGAAGATAGGCAAAGATCATATAAATACATGTATCATTATTATGTTAGGTGGTGATAGATGCTGCGCAGAAAAATCATGCACAGTTATGGGGGAGTTATCTGTTTTACAGGGCAGTCAGGGAAGGAGACATTTGAACAGACCTGAGAGAAATGAGGGGTGAGACTTGTAGATACCTGGAAGAAGAGTATTTCAGGTAAGGAAATACCTGATGAAAGTAAATGCAAAATCCCTGAGGCAGGAAGAAGGACCAGCAATGAGATCAGAGTGGCCAACAGGGGGACAACACCAGAATGGAAACTGTGGGCCAAATCACAGAGTGTTCTAGAAGGTGGGAAGGAATTTGGCTTTTAATCAGAGCAAGATGTGGAGCTATTGGGAGGTTCTGAGCAGAGGAGTGATATGACACGCCTTGCATGTTGGGATTTTTTTTCTAGCAACACTCAGCTGTCTGAGTGCAACCTTGGAGAAAGTCCTGGAGTTGGGCTGGCATATGCAAAGAAAAGGTGGAGAGGTATTGGGCATGGAGTTACTGTCTTTGTTGACTCTCAAAGTTAATTTAGGTAGGGGGGGACATAAAGACGGAGAAGCCAATGGATAGGGATAGGATAGAATTATCAGTGAACTTGAGCTCCATGAGTATAAAGAATGGTCAAACAAATTAGCAAGGAGGTAAGGAAATTGGGTGTAGGGGTGGGTGCATGATTTCATTATTTTACAAGTAGTGTAGCATCGTGAAATGTTGATGGAATAACCATGGGAGAGAGTGGCTAAGTGAGAAGGTCAAGGAAGGGAGAGGCTAAATGTTTGTTGAATCTGACATATGATTATATTTCAATATTTAGCTTATGCTGAAATTTTCCACTAACCATACACTTGAAAAGTGTTCTAAGGAACACTGGTAACTTTGACAAGCATATTACTGTAAGTAGAGCAGAGCTCAGAGTCCTGTTCAAAACTTTGTACAAAGAAGATTTTCTTGAGTGGTATCCTATTCAGACAACATCGATGAGGGAGTTTGCTCGTGAAGTGTGAGTGGGTGAGAAGGTAGGTGAAGTCTGGTGTTCTTAGCACTGTGTACATGGATCACACCTGGGAAGTCTGAGCATTATGAGATTATTTTACCACATTCAGTTAAAAAATGAATTAAATGAGACCACAGTGACTTAGATCTGGCTGATTTCTGAATCATCTACAAAACTTTTCCAATACATTACAAGCATCTAGTTCCCACCCTGAAACTAATGTTTCACAATTTTTGAGGGATAAAGCCCATGTATATTTGTCTATGTATATAAAGCTCTCTGAATTTTATATAGCCAGGATTGAAAAACTGGAGTAGTGCTTAGCAGACAGTTATTGCTTTTGCCTGCCCATAACCAGGGCCATTTTTTCTGCTCATGGTGACGTGGCTGTACCTCAGGACACCATCCCCTGCCCACTCTTGGTGTATGTGCTTTTGGCAGAACGGATGCTACACTGACCCCAGGGATAGCAGGTTATCCAAGCCTGGTTGATTTGGGAATTGCATCTCTCTTTCAATGGAAGAAAGAGACAATCTATATCTATATGATAATATAGATAATAGGTTAGAGGTTCTCTGTATTAAAGATATAGGTTAGAGATCATCTAATCTATAATTACATCTCTCTTTCTAAGCCAAGGTGATTTTTTCCAATTAGAGATAATTCCAGGACCTTTGCTGCACTCATTGAGTTATTCTCTTCACTGTGGGTTTAGACCTGGGGGATGTAAGCATGGAGTTGCTGGCAGGTGTCTTGCCAACATGAAGAAAGCATCTCTGAGAGGGGAGCAGCACAGAGGGAAACAGAGGCAGCGTGAAGACAGACCCAGGCCTGCTGATGATAGTTGCTGCATTAAGCCACTCCTGATTTTGAGATCTGTGAGTCCATATTCCTCATTTGCTTAGGTAATTTGACTGGGGTTTTCCATCTCTGGAAACTGAGGAGTCTGATGCCTGGAGTCTGGAGGCTTGTCCTCGGCGATGCCGAGGCCCTCTCCCAGCTGCTGGCCTTGTGTCATCATGTGGACATCCATCCTCGCTGGTAGCTTTTTTGACACTCTGGCTCAGGAAACTCACCTTCTCAGCATCTGGCTCCTGTGGTAAGGAGAAAAGAAAATAGAATCAGATCAGAATGAGAAGAAAATGGATTCTCTATGAGATTATGGTGTGTGGTGAGCCGTAGACATGCTTAGATTGCTCAGCTTCTAGTTAGACCCTGTTAACATACTTAGTTGGTTAAGGAGCAAATAACCTCGGTCGAAAGAGCTATTTAGGACTGAGAATGCTAGAAGTAATTGACTAGAACTTTATGTTCTAAACTCAGGTTTAATATATGACATAAGCTAGACATATTAATCTAAATATTTTTCTGTGTGGGTATGTTTCTTAGATTCCTCCCCTTTATGCTTTTCCCCTATGGATGCCTGGTTTAATCAAGTTATTAATGGTTTCTGAAATAAAGTGCTAGGTATTCCATGTTGTCACAAGATGAGGAATCACTTTATTTCCTAAGGTAATTTTAAAGAAATCAAGTTTTTGTTGCAAGGAATATTGAGAATTGATATAATACCACCTACCTCATTAAGCTCCCTGCTTCTAGTTTTTTCTTGAATGTTTAGCTCCAGAAACACCAGAGAAACCTGGGTAGGAGACACATTCAGTTTTAAGCTAGTCTCATACTATAGATCCTGAGACTCACTTAGAAGAAATGGAGATTTGGGCATCTTGGTTCACCTGTTGTCTTGCTGTTCATCAGGTAAATAGCTTTTCATTTCCTTGGAATGTCAGATGCTATTATTTTAGTGTCTGTAGAAGAAATCACTGTAACGATTTCTATACCTAGACAGAACACTGACCAACATTTCGTGGTGCAAAGTCCAACTATCTCATGAATTGAAATGCTAGTCATAGATGAAACTTGAAAATACAGTCAGAAAGGAAGCTCAATATAATTAATGTCCTTTTATTTCTCTTGAAAATGGTATAATCTTAGGACTCTTGGTGAAGGTCATGTTTAACTGCTTTTCTCAAATGTCACAATCATTTCAGAATACTGCATAAATACCATTTTGGTATCAGTTTTCTTCCACGAAACAATTTTCCCTAATAACCTGAAACTCCCTCTGAGCCACAGTGTCTAACTTTCCTTATAACATGAAACTCAATTTTAGGGGAAAGAAATAGCAAAGGACAGTTGGCATTCAAATTCAGGAACTTGTGCTCAGCTATATGTTTCTTTTTCTTTTTCTTTCTTATCATTGGTTGCTTAAAAGTAAAAACATACACACATACACACACACACACACACACACACACACACCAAAAACTTGCTAATATAGAAACACAGGAACAATTTACTTCTTTATTTGATTAGTACTAACATGCCCTAGCTTAGGAGGGTGCACAGTGATGATGTGTGGGGACCACTTCCATTTGTCACTATCAATGGAGCCACAAGAATTCTAGAGAATTCTAAGAGTACATCTCAGTATGATTAAAACCATCCTGATTTATCCTTTGTCTGGGAGCAACAAAACACTCACTTGAAAGCTCAAGGTTATTTCTTGCATTTAAAAATCCAGTTCAGGGTAAGAAAGAAGCTGTCATGCAATATTTAAAACATGAAATCCAGTCAACTAAGTAGTATTTTAAAATCCAGTTCAGTATAGAAGTGACTATACACACACACACACACACACACACACACACACACACACACACCCTATACTTAACTTAGGTTGGTATTTGATGGGAATACACACACATGCATGCATATCTTTAGGAAGGTAAATGTCTCATGTTGTTCAAACCAATAAATTAGGAGCTCAGGAGCCCATGTTGAGCTTCAGCAGTGTTCTCTCTGGGTCTTAGACATGCCTGACTTCATCTAGAGTTCTGCAGGAATGGCCTTGCTAGATACCCATGAGCATACATGATGCTGGGGTCCCTGAGGAAACATACATCTTAAGAAAATGGCCAGAGACTCAAAAGACCATAAAAAGAACAGCACCTTCAGATTGGAGGAGAAAGAGTGATTTGACTACAACACAGGGTTTCTCATGAAAGTTGTACACATGCCCAGCGATGCCTCCCCTCTCAGGGGTTTGCTTCCCAGTCTTACAGGGAGGGTGACTTTGAGGTTTAAAAAAACTATTTTGTGATAATCTCAGTGAATTATCAAGAGATCATGAACCCAAGGCTGTATTGCTTTGTAGTGTAAGTTAAGCTTTAGCCCCGATGGGAGAAGAGGACTGTCTTAATCAGGGATTGCTGCTGTTAAATATTCAAATATAGAATAGACACAGTAGCAGGAAGTGTGGGTCCAAGCATGAACTGTGCAGTGAAGCATGGATCTGGGGCAAAGAAGCAGGACATGGGCTCACCCTTGAGAAGACCTCAGTGGTGTCTCAGTAGCACTGGAGGCTTCAGTGGCTGAGGCAGTGCATTGCCAGGGCTTCATTTTAGAACCTTCATCAGGCAAAGTTAATGCCTTCATCAAGCCAGCTAATGGAAAGATCTCACCACCGACATCTGGAGGCTGCAAGGGAGGTGAGGGGAAAAGTGGCAGATTCAATGTGTGCATGTAGGAATCAGATCATCAAAAGCACAGAAACCACTTGAAGTCTTCATAAATAGGCAGGGTATTGGCACAACTCTGGGAGGGAGAATTACTGTCCCATGACTGCACTTAGGCACCTGCTTTCCCTCCAAGGTGGAAGTGGACTGGGAAACACAGCTGTCCTTTCGTTTGAAAAGAATTCTTCCCTTGAATGAAAGATTCATCTCAGTGTTGTTCGGACAATGAGATATGATTGTCTTTCCCAAAATATTTGAATTAGAGACAATTTTCCCAGAACATCTCACTGTGAAGAGTGAGGACCTTTTGTGCTTTTGATTGCCATGCTAATCATCCATGGGAAAAGGGATTGAAAACTAGGGGATTTTATTTGAAGATTACAAAGTTGAGTCCAAAGTAGTGTTGCTAGAAGCAAAGATGAACACACACATGCTCCTTCCCTTCATGTAGCTGAGAGAATGAATATAGGCTGTACTTCCGGGACACCAGAGCATTAATGGAGCATTATTCCATCATTTGTGTAATAAGAATATCAACTGCTAATGGAAGAACTTTTGAGGATAATTCAATAAAAAGTAGTATGAAAATAACTGCCTAATCTTTATAATAGTGCTAATATGAAATATGAGACATTTAAGTATTTCTATTCACTAAAGCCCCAATTTCTGTCTGATATAATCTGGTGACTTTCTCACTATAAATTAAAGAGGTTTTGAGGTTCTCATTAAACTAGAGACTATTAAATCCATCTGATCAGAGTTGTTTAAATTATTAGTATACATTTCCTTTCTTTAAAAATCTTCTGTAATCCTGTTAGGATTGCCCATTTCATGGAAACAAATGTAGATTGCAAATAGGTTTTAAAAAAGAGAAAAATGCCACATGACATGGGGGTGCAGACATCTTTTCAAGATCATGATTTCAGTTTGTTTGGATATATGCCTTCCATTTGCAACAACATGGATGAACTGAGAAGGCATAATGCTAAGTGAAAAACCAGACAGAGACAAATGCTGTATGGTATCACTTATGTGAAATTAAAAAAAAAACATCCAATTTCTTAGAAACAGAGAGTAGAAAGGTGGTTGCCAGGGACTGGTGGGGAGAGGGAGACCGGGAGATGTAGGTCAAAGGATACAAGCTTGCAAGTGTTACAAAGACTAAGCTCTGAGGACCTAATGTTCAGCATGGTGACTATAGTAAAAATACAGTATTGTATACTTGACAGTTGCTGAGAATAGATAATAAGTATTATCGCCACATTGTTTCTCTAAGATATTACATTTCCCATGGGAATAAAAGTACATGATCTTATACATGGAATCTAAAAAATTAAACTCATTAAAGCAGAGAGTAAAAAAGTGGTTGTCAGGGACTGAAGGTGGAGTAAATGAGATGTTGGTCAAAGGGTACAAAGTTTAATACATGGGGTGGATATGTTCTGGAGATCTAATATAGAACATGGTGACTGTAGTTAGTAATGCTGTATTATGCACTTGACATTTACTAAGAGAGTAGATCTTATGTATTGTCACCACGTACACAAAAAAATTGTAGCTATGTGGGGTGATGGATATGTTGATTGATTGTGGTAATCATTTCACAGTGTATGTGTGTATCAAAACATCACATTGTTTACCTTGTATATGTCCAATTTTTATTTGTCAATTATTCCACATTAAAGATGGAAAAAAAGTTTCAATTACACTGAAACATTACATTGTGCATGTATAACCTGATAAGAGAAAAATTAATGAGGAAAAAAGATAAACTTACTATAGAGTAAAATTTCTGATATTATAATGAAGGTTGTTCATTTGGCATTTCTGACTGCTATAAATACTGGCAAGTAAGTCTGTTTAGTCTCTGTACTTCTTAATTTCTGCTGAGCACAGAACAAAGGATAATGTCTTTAAATAAGAAAGTTTTGGCTGATAGTAAGAGTATTAATACATACGGCAAAATTTTTTGAGATCCTATAAATTTCTAACAGCAAATGTAATGTTGCCTGAAGAAAGGGAAATGGGTAGGTATGGAAGGCATGGTTTGCAAGTATGAGGTAACACAAAGCTAAAAAATTCTGATACAGTGCATATTTAGCCCTGGCTTAAAGAGGACCTTATCTGACTAATGATGAGCTAAATCCAACAATATGAAATCTATAGGCAAAACATTTAAATCACTGCATTAGGTTCAAGAATTCAACCCGGGAGATTGTATTTTTGAGGGGAATTGAACCTACAGTGATTCAGGTATGAAAAGAGTGAGGGGTTTTAAGTGACTTGCTTTCTAAAGAAAATAATGGGACATGGCCTGCAATGAAAAACAAAAGTCAGGTTCAAATTATGGTACGGACTGGTCCCTCTTTCCTTTGTACAGTTCATGCTGTGGCATGCTAAATTCACCTACTTCTCACAAGGACAGGGAAACATGGTCCTAGGATAGGACCCAAACATGTCCCAAAGAAGTGACTGAAAGAAGCAAGTGAATTTAATGAAAACTATGAGTTGCTTATCCCTCATCATCTCCCCTTCATCATATTATTGCAGAATTGTCACTGAATTCAGATATTTGTCCTTCCTTGTTTTCCTTCTACCCTGACTCCCGTGGTAACTGCATCAGGTCTCATGGCTTTAAATAACATCTACATGCTGACAACTACCATGTGTATAGATATCCAGCCCCGATCTCTCCCAAGTTACTCTAGAGTCTCATATTCAACTATTGACTTGACATCTTCACATGGATGTATAATAGATGTTTCGAACCTAACATGGTCAAAGCTGAACTCCTGTTCTGACCACCCCATTCCTCTTCCTCCTGAAACCTGCTTTTTGGCATTCTTCCCCATCTAACTTAGTGACAACCCCATCCTTCATTTGCTTACATCAGAACTATCAGAGTCATGCTTCTTTCTGATCATAGCCCAGGGGACATGATTCCTGGCAGATGTGCGGGAGGGAGATAGAGGACACGCACTGATCCAGTAGGAGCCGGCCTCACCTAGGCAAGTCCATAGAAAGCTTAGGAAGTATGTGTTCAGAGGTGACACTCGGCATTTGACAGTGAAGATTCAGTACTGGGCATGTCTTTCAAGAAAAGTCTTAGAGTTCTGGATACCTGCTGCTTTCATTCAGATCTGTGGATGAGGGGCAGAGTGGCATAATGAAAGTCACATTTTACATGGGTAGCCTCTTTCAGGAGAGGTTGTTCAGCAATGTTTGGGAGAGTCTGACTCTGAACACAGTCAAGTGTTGGCAACTGTGAGACTCACACTGATGCCTGTTTTCAGTGACACTGAGAACAAAGCTTTTAATGATGGGCTCACCCACAGTGTGCAGTACACCTCCCAACACCATGACAGCTCAGTCTTCTGTTCTTGTGGAAGTAATTATACTATTCATGGAGCACAATAATCTGCAATATTTCTCAGATGAGAAAGAACAAATTCTGCCTCTCTTGGTTCAATTTACAGAGCAAAATTCAACAGCTTTACTCTTCTACAGGAAAAACAAAACTGAAAGCAAAACACACTGACAACTCTGATGTACAGAAAATGGCTGTGGGTCTCGCTGAATACATTTATTTCTGATTTTCCCTCTGATTTGTCTTTTGTACAGATACAGTAGATTTTAAAAGCTGGTATTCAACTTACTCTAATTGTTCCATGCATTCCATGATCATTCACTTAACCATGCACTTCCCAGTGCCTTTCTATGGATATTCTATAACCAGTGGGACAAAATTGGAGTTTCATTTGCCCTGAGACTTAGTAGTTAAACCCCCTTGAATATGAGATGTGCCAGAGTTTACTTATGCCTAATCTAAATGGGACTATGGCTAAATATGAAGCAAAGGAAGACAGGTGCCAATATTTTTTGTTACTTAACTGATTAAAGAGGGCTAAGCACTTTATATATGTTATTTCACTAATTCTCAAAAATAACCCTAAATAGATACTACTATTCCTTTTTATGAGGAAAATAGGTTTCATAGAAGTTTAAATGATTTGCTTGAGGACACACACTAAGAAGTGGCAGATCCAAAATTTGAACCCAAGTCTTTTCTTTTTACTTCAGAGCCTACGTGCTTAGTTAATGTGCTGTGGTGCTTCTCCACCCCAAAAAAGGGGAAGAATAAACAAAGGAGTGACATGAAGGAACAGAAAGAAAGATGAGTGGCCTTCCTCTCTAGGGAGCTTGGAGGATGGCCAGGGTGAGGGTAGATGTAACAGGGCTGAGGTGACAGAGTTGAGACACCTTTGATGTCTACTCGAAGCTTCCATGGCTTGAAGCCGTGGCCTTAATGAACGTGATAATGAGAATAGCTGTTTAAAGGGAAACCATTCATAGGGTATTTTCCAGGACACAGAGTTCACCATGGCCCTCATACAGTGTTTTCAGTACCTTCCTGCAGACTTGTCAGTAGCTAGCAGAACAGAGGCAAGGACATTTCAGCAGTTCAACTCCTACGAAGGGCTGGAAATCAGAATCCATAGATTTACTGGGAACAAGTGGAACTGAGAGTCTGACCTCCTAACAGCCTCAGTATCCTGAGTGGAATATATTTTGTCCTGGTATAACTGAGGATCTGATGGTAGTCATAGGTTTTCAATTCTTTGAAATTTGGTTTGACAGGAATAAAAGAAAATTTCCCAGGTGTTTTGTCATTAATTAGCAATGGCAAGGTACTTCGAGAACAACTTTCTCTCTGGCTTTCAAGGTCAAAATTGTTCTTGCATTATTAGTGCCAAAAGGGTCTGTTAGATAAGGGAGAATAAAGAAGTTAACAGGAGGTTGTTGGCTAACTAATCATGATTTTCCTAATATAACTCATCAAAAAAATAAATATAAGTAATTAGCAAAATCTAAAAATGGCTTATTTTGTCTGTCTGCTTCTGTAAGTAAAACATTGTATGGTCCTGTGAACTGTGAGTAGAGAAATAGTTAAGTGTATTTTCA